AAAAAAAAAAAAAAAAAAAAAAAAAAAAAAAAAAAAAAAAAAAATCAATCCCCACTGATTTAGCCACAGGCAGAGTCATCTCGACTGACAAGCCGCATGGGAGATGAGCACCAGGACATCAGAAAACCATGAAGGAGGAAGAGGTGGCAACCAGGCGCAATGTATCTATGAGAATGAGAAACATGTGTCAGAGTTCAGCCTAATAATACTAATTGGGAAAGGAGATAAAATAATTGAAGTTGGCCAGCTAGACTACCACGGAGAAATAAAGCAAAGGGCCTCTAACTCCAGAAACATGGGCAACAAAGGCAGAGAGAGCGAGCATATACAAGGGGAAGGGAGGTTGTAGTAAAACCATGACAGAATAATTAGGAGCAAAGGGATGGGGAAAAAAAAATTAATTTAAAGCTTACTATCTGCAAAAAATGACCTCGGAGCAAAAAACCTGAAAGGGTCAAATTTGGACAAACTACTCGAGGACAAGTTTCGGAAAACTGCTCAGTATCAGTCAGAAGACTGACAACAGGGCAGCACACTTCTCTTATCTTGGTTTCTCAAGAAAAACCACCAGTCAACACAGCTTGTGAAGCTGAACATTGTTCTTACAGAAGAAAACAAGTCAGTAACTGGAAGCCAGGACATTCCAGCTCTATATTATGCCACGGACCATCTGACCAGAAAGTTTTAAGCGTGAAATTTAGACTCCAGCATGCAGAGACGTGACCCTACTTGAATCTCTCTTACACTGCAGAATAGAAACGAGGCAACCCTTTTTCTAACAACTTCAAAATTTTAATTTTCAAATAGTATTTCATCTTTGCAAGAAGATAAGAGATCTTTTCTGAGGACTGGAAAGATGAAAGCCTGCCTACAACCTGCTTAACGTCTTTGCATACACTTTAGAATAAATCTCTATTTATTCTTTCAAGGTATGTTTTATCCTTGTAATTAAGCTTGGAAATTACCAGATGCTCTATGAAGTTACAAATTAGATTGGAATCATAAATACATGTGTCTTTTAACTCAGGAAAAATGCAAAGCGATGAACAGGTATTGGTCCTTCTCTTCGCAGCAATATGGTTTACTCCTCAGCTTTATATCCTCCCTGATTTACCAAGGGGTACGAGGATCTCGTCCCTTATAAGGAGAGCAGTCAGCAAGTACCAGCATGTTCTGATGCGAGAGGAACAGCTATTCCATAAATCTGAAACATGTTCTGGACAACGGCAGAGTTTGCACAGACCACAAGAATTGTAGGAATTAACCCCCTTTTGTTTACAGCGCTTCGAGAGAGATCCCGTGTGGATGCAGTAGTGCGAGGGGATAAGGCAGCAGCGACATGATCCGACTCTCAGCGCTGAAACACAAACCGGGCACATTTGGAAACGTTTTGCACCTTCTAAATATAAAAGGAGATTCGCCTTTTATGTTTAACTTCTCCTAATTAGGAAAAGCTGATTAAACAACTTATGTGGAAAGGCAGTAATGTAAACAAAAGCCTGTTTTCTGGAGCAGAGGTGTCAAGCTTCCTTCTCTTAGAGGGTCACTTTACTTTTTTTTTTTTATGATTGTTCATCAACCAAGGTAAACATGTCAGGCAGGAGGGCTACAATTCACTGAGGCGAGAAGGAATTTTTTCAGAGATCCACACTGAAGCAAGGTCCTTTACACCATCTGAACATCTTTGTTGGATATCGGTTCGGCGCGTTTATAGTGCTGCTTCTGTCGTCATCTTCCCTTCCCATTCCCCTCCACTCCTCCCTTTCCTTTTTCTTTGCCTTGTTTTTGACCCCTTCATAACTATTCCTAAATCCATAACCCCAACGTAGAGGCCTAGCTCCCAGTTCCTTCCCCACTGCACCACAGACCAGGGAAACAAGCAACAGCCCAAGCAATATTCTTTGGGAGAAGAGCCACCCTCTCCCCCCAAAGTTTCAGCCAGGGACGTGTGGGTGGTTTCCACGTCTCTGAGCCACCGGCTGAGGCTGTCTGCTGGTGTGGGCTGATGTTGCCACATCTGTTTACACTAAGAACATTGCTATTCGCCAACACCACAGCCTGATTTTGGGGTTTTTAAAGAAAAGTTTAGATTCTGCAGCTCCTACATCTGCTATACAGATCATAAATACCTCGGGCAGAGGCAGCTCAGAGGCTATTATATATGACACTTCTACTCCAGAGCCTTCCACATTGTTTTAAAATCTCAGCAATGACCTTTTAGTGTTTCATTTGGAGATTATTTCCTTTCATCACAACACTTCTCTCCTGACTTCTTTCTGAATTAGTTTCAGATGCAAACCTAATCTAAGCTCTGGTATTCTCAGGCCTCACCAAGTTTATTTTATGCACAAGGATAGGATCCTTGTGCATAAATATACATTTCTTTTTACACAAACACGTGCACATGTATATACATTTAATACCAGTAAGCAAAAGGACAGCTGGATTCTCTGCAAACCAAGTCTAATGTGCTGGAGAAACACTTGGGACATAAAAAGCAAAAGGCAGTTACTTACCTTTGAGAAGAATCTGACTGATGTCATTTGTGTGAAACCACAAATATTTATTTTTAATGAAAAAATACTTAAAGTGTGCCACAGTGTCCATATATTCATTTGAATAGTAGTACAAAGATATGTATTTCTGAGAAAAAGTCTTAACACTGTAGAAAATAAATGTGGTTCTTAAATTATGTCAAAAGAAACCAGTAAAAAAGTAATGTTTTATACACTGGAATAAAATGAAACAATTAGAGATAATAATAAATTATAATTACAGTATTTCAAATATTTGCTTCATGCTTTTTTCAGCATTAGTTTCTAAATGTGTCACGTATAATACGCCCTCGGAAGCCAGCAGTCAGAATGGTCTTTCAATGATACTGTGGATAATAGGATGTGGAGCTGAATAAAGTCCTAGAAAAATGACACCACCATTTGTTATTTACTGATACACAAAACATCAGAACATGGCAGTTTTAGGTTTGTTTTTTTTTTTTTTTTTTTAAACCAACTCATCTTTTATACTTCAATGAACTAAACAGCAATTATGGTCATTAACAAGTATGTCACCCAAGCACACTGCACAACCGTGCTTACGGGATGCTACACGCTGCACTGGCTTTTTATACAGTCAAAGTTAACAAGAATTTGGAATCATTTCAGGTCTAATTAAGCACTGCAAAATGTTTAAAACTATAAAGTGCTTTTAAATAGAAATCATTTTTGCTCTTTAGAAATAAGAAAAAAAAAAATCCAAACATGCACTTAAACCTGAAACCTCCATGCCATATATACTGCAGTTTAAACAGTAAAACATCAGTTTTGTGCCATTTGTTTTAAAATTTCCTTTCCCATCCCACCTCGTTCCCCAGTCAAAAAGTCAAATAGTGTCTAAATTGGATTTGTCAGTATCTTCTTGGTCGTGTTTGCACATGAAGGTTAGAAGGAAAAGAGCAATATCCAGAGATGACCAATAGGCAGTGTGTGATGTGACCGCAGACCAGTATCTGCTCTCCACGAGACCTTCCCTGAGCTCGAAATCAATCCTGTGCTCCAGTTCCACTAGAAATTGAACAAGAAACAAAAACATTGTTTGAATTACATGTCAGCAGAACAAAAAAAAAACCACCGGCATGTTTTTCAATCAGGTTTGGGCTCTGATTCTACCTGTTGCACATAAAATACACATGGTATCGCTATGTTTACATTGAACACTACACTCGTCTAAATCAGTTGTGATTTTTAATCATACATACATTTTGATGCACATGCATTTAGCACAAACCTGACCTAGGAGTGGTGCTTAGTTCAGGAATTAATAAAAAAAAAGGAAACTAAACCTAAAGCTTGGAAAAAGCTGGCATTTTTTTTTTTAAGCAGCTGTTTTCCTTATAGGAACTACATAAATACATTTATTTATACTCCTTATAATAACTACACAGAAGTACTCAGCCAGTGTTGAGGTCCTGTTAGGAAACACTGACTTTCAGAAGGTGGGTGCTCAGAACTTTCTGAAATAAACGGACTTCTTGCATCTTTAGTGGCTCTACAAGGAGACTACACCCAATATTACAAGCCCTTTCTGAAAACCAGCCATCCCTACACAGCACTAGCTCTTTTCATTTCCAGATTATTCAAAATATATTTCAGCAGTTATCCTTTCATTTCAATGGCTGCTTTGATTAATACCACATTCAAAGCAATTTTCACTGTATGTTTAACTGGGCCAGTGGCTAATCTATTGTTAAGACACTTATAGCGGTTAGAAAAATCTCTACAAGGAGCAATAGAATAAAAAGGACAAAACTAAAAGCCTGCTTAGCTACAAAAGCCAAAACCCCATATTGAGTAAAAAATGCAGCCAATTATCAAAGCCAGTTTCAAGGAATTTTAATTCTTGGCTCCAAGAACGCATAAAGGGAGCATCGCTCAGGCGCTGCCTCCGCGGCACAGCGGCACCCGGGGAACCACACGCCTCGTCTCTTCCCAGGAGCACCGCACCGCTCTGCAAACGCAGCAAGGAGAGGGAGCCAGGGCCTTCCAACACCAGGAGACAACCGTAGTCGTTTCCACTAAGATGCATACATTAAAAAAAAAAAAACCAAAACCAACCCAAAGCCCAAAGCAGTCGCTCTGCAGGAAGGACCCCCCGAACGACTCCGTCTCCCTCTGACGAGAGGCCGTTACAGGAGCTTGGGCGGCTGCCAAACCCCACCACAAGCCCAGTGGCCGCCCTCTCAGAAGCAAATACTTTGGGCACGGATTGCATCATTCAGCTTCAGCCTCGCTGGCCTCTGCTCCACGTTCTCCTTCTATGGAACAGGGATGGGCTTGCAGCAAAGAGGGATGCAGGAATCGCGTAGAAGGTCCTTGATGTGCCCCCCCCACCCCCGCCAAGGACCTCCTGGGCAGCTCCACAATATTAATTCTATTTTCCCCAAGTTTAAAACAAAGTCTCTGTCCTCCAATACCGTCTTTGACAGATTATCTGTTGAAATTAGCAGTGATGAACGGACAGCAACGTATCATGTGAATGATATCACAAGATACAACATACTTGTGACTCCTTAGATTGCAAAAACCCTTGTCTTGCAACAGTGCCAATGAGAAGTTTAGAAATAAAATCAAATATGAACTTCTGTAAAGAAAGTACCTATGCTTTTCAAAAAAAACCTGCTGCTAAAGTTGCACTTTCTGCTCTGGGCAGTTCAGATCAGGACAAGGACAGCTTTTGTTTCCAGTCACACATGCCTTTAAATCCAGATTGCATCAGAATTGCAAGTGTATGTGGAAATTTAAATAAATCCATTTTATGATAAGCGGCGAGTGGGATTCTCTGCAGCAATTCTATTGCTTTTCCTAGTGAGAGTCTAGGAACTACTGATGTGCAGATCTCATTAGCCAAAACTCATACATGCATATGTAAGTACAAACAAATATACAGATAAACCTTTAAGAGGAAGGAAAAAAAAAAAGGGAGAACAGAGGCAGTCCTTGGACAGCAGGAATTGAGTCAATATTTATCAATTTAGAGCAAACCAACAAAATTAAATGGTGGCATATGTTGTTATGGTATTCCCAGCCTCCCACAAGACACAGATGCAGCTCACTACAGGTCTCGCCTCCACGGGGTTTGTAAGGTGGACTCGTCACTAACCTGTGGGCTCAAGAAAGCCCGAGCTGCTGTGAGGCAAAGGTGGTGTCCCAACAGTTGTGGCCTTCTTGTCATCTCCCCCCTCGGCTCCATCTTTTCCCGTCTCGAGTGTCTGTGGGGTGGTTGTACTAGATCGACCAAATCTTGAAAAAAGCATCCCGCCGAGGCCCTTCCCAATACTTGCAGCTCCTGCATTCAGCATGGAGGAAAAAAAAAAAACAAACCAAACAAACAAACCTGAAGCACGAGGGCAGCTAAATCAAACCGCAAATTAAAACTGCTGTAGCACCCATCAATTAGAGTTGAGTGACAAACAAAGGAAAACACTATTCATACTTTTCTAGGGTGGGAGCAGCTTATCTGACTTAAGTGTACGCTGTTTATCGTGAGACTAATCTAGTGTACAAGCAAAGGCTATAATTTGAAAACTATAGTTAGGGGAACAAAAAATACTTGAGAACACTTCCTCAGCAAGAAATCTGGTACTTTGAGAGACACGCTACATTGCAATTCCTCTTCGATAAAAAGTCTTAAGGCAAAAATGCTTCATAACAATGTTAGTACTTTCTGCACGCAAGAATCCCATCAGGACGCTGAAGGCATTCCTCTCATGAAGGGTCCTTACGCTGGCACCACACTTACAGACACTTAGAAATGCTAAATCATCCTTTAAAAGGGCTATTTTGGTTGCTCGGGAAGAGGGGTGTAAAAGTTAAGAACAGCTATGTGACGATTTCTTTTGACTTTGCTGCCACCTTATGGACAAGACGTTAAAGTTACTATAGTAACACAGAAAAAGCAACCCTGCTTTGAAAGACCGCATCTTTCTACTTAAGGACTAAACTGCTTTTATATACTTTACTTATTTGATTGGGAAGATTCCTGGCACTAGCCTTCATCCAAATCCCACGCAGAGAGCTAAAGAAAAGCCTTGAGTCAACAAAAACTGCAAGTGTGTGCTCAAATATAAGCTTCGGGGAAAGTGAATTTAAGCTCACTTAAACCAGGGCTTATTTTGAATCAGAAAGCCAGAAGGGGACAGACTTCATATTAAAAGAGCCTGAATTTCCTATTGCAAAATGATGAGTTAAATGTAACAGCTTACATAGAGTGATTTTTCTCCTATTTGCCAATATCAGAAAATGTAGACACAAAACAAGCTGTATTTTTTTTTTTTCCCTATGAAGCAGAGTGGAAACTATTAAATCACCGGGATGTTACTTCAATAAGGCAGACAACAATAAGGCAGCAATAGCATAAACTCCCCGACCCGCAGACTCTCCCTTGCAAGCCTTGACCTCAGAGTATGTAAACCATCTTTTGGTCCAAGTAAATATCAGCTGGGATTAAAAACAAGCCCCATACACCTACACCGAACAAACTGAAACAGCCAGGAATAGTTGCTTATGGTTGCACCTCAAACACCACCCGACAAAGCGGTGAAGCTCTACAAGAAGGTCTTATATCTAACACAAAGGACATAAAGAACAATCACCTAATATACTCGCTTTGCCTATGTTTGTTATGGACTCCCCGTAGTGGCGTCGAACCATGACTGGTGAAGTAGTTGGGCTTGGTACAGTTGAAACACTTTCGCTATCGGTAACTGAGGTAGGTTCTTTTGTTGGGTTGAGAAAACTTGGCTTCATATGATCGTAAGGTAGAGGGTTTGCAGTGTTGTACCAGTGGATCTGGACAGGCGAAATGTTGCTGTAGTGTTTCAGAATTAAAGGTTCTAACCTATAGGCCTGCAAAAGTAATTCAGAAAAGAAAATCCTTGAGCGTCAAGAGTGAAAAAAAATCACCTTCCCTTCCCATACAGAGTCCTCTCCAACCTCAAATCAAAAATATCTGTAATGAGTGAAGCCTAGCAAGTGACAGAACGGTGCAGTTACATTCTGGCTCACTTATTTTCACAGCTTGGAAAATATCTCAGCTTCTCAGTTGCTTGTGCATTCACTTTTGCACATTTCTCTGCAACACTTCTACTACAAGCTCTTACAAACATGCAAGTTACTGTTAACAGGCATTTGTTATGATGCATTGACAGAGCAAATTTTATATACAGTCAAGCTGATTCTGTACAACACAACAGAGGAGGAGGAACTGGCTTTGTAAACATTTTGTTTGATGACTCCGCATCGATCCCTGTGCAAACCATGAATTGGTGTGCTTGTTAAAAAAAAAAAATCATTTTCTATTGATTCTTTATTTTTCTTTGTTTACTTAGATATAGAAAAACATTCTGCACTTCTTTATCTCAAAATTAAGTTACTGTTTGCAGAGTGGGACCACAGAGTGCAGCCTGACCAATTGTCCTAGATGTCCCAGGGAAATTCTGGTGTTGGAGTAGCTGGAGCTGAACAAGATCTTGAGATGAGCAGAACCAGCATGTCTGGACTGAAGTCAGATTCAGGTAGAATTTAAACACAAAAGTATCCACAAATTACTATTCTACAGTAAGCATGAAATCCCAAATCAAGCTTTCATCACAGAAGTTGCCAAGGCGATACAGATCAAAGGCCCTTTGATAACAGCAAACACTGGCTGCCTATGGAAGAGCGTAAGGAGAGGGTGAAGCTGTACCAATGCTGCCCTCCCAGATACTATCCTGCCCTCTAACAATCTGTTACTCTTGGGGAAAAAAAACCCCATGATTTTGTTTTTCTACAGTATTTCATAAACTGCTTGTGAAGCCTTTAACAGCTGTAGTATCTTTGGACAGATGATGGTTAATGGAAGACAGTAAGTTAAACACAAGTTGGAACTTGTCTGAGAAGGATTGTTTCTCTAAAAAAAAAAAAAAAAAGCAGAGTAATCTCAAATCTTATGTTTATTAATATGAAAAGAGAAGCAAAGTATATGGTATTTAAGGCAATTATTTGTAGGAACTGTCATTCTACAGTTACAAAACCCAAGACATTGGACAATAATGATTAACAAATAGTCCCGTGCTGAAACATAATTGCGTTGATTCACACGCTTTGAAGTTAACATCATCACACAGCTGATGCTTAAAAATAGTCCAGGTAAAAGCTTGCAACTGCAATTAAAACTCACCACTGGATCTGTTGGATGAAAAATATTTAGTAAGCGGTTACAAATTGTTCTGGGCAGAATATGGTCTTGACTACCGCTGTTTCCTGGACGGATGCCACGCAATGCCAAAAACACTGCTAATGGAGATCCCATACAGAAGAAATTCTCAACCTAAGGAGAGATTTCATCCACATTAATAAGGACAGAAATAATGCTTTCTAACATGGCTGGATTTGATTTCTCTCTTTCAACGGATTTCTAAATTTAGCATTACTAAATCAGAACGGGGAACACCACTGTAACATACATACTATAACATCAAAGTTAAGTTTCCCATTTCCCTTTGCTGTGAGAAGAGAGTTACATGTTGTGGTGCTACATCGCTGGAAAACTAAAAACCAAGTCAGATACTCGAACCGAAAGAGATCTACCAACACCAGAAAGGCTGGAGCCTGATTTCTCACGAAACTCCCCAAAGCTTACACACCTCCTTAATCTTACCCTAACCAAGTACTCCACGATTTGTATTGCTACACGCATCCATTGAAGTAGAAATGCAAGCTACACTGAGTATTAAAGTTAGTAGTATTACAGTAGTCACACACACACACAGGCTGGTGTTATGTACAACTCTTAAGAACACCTAGTGTTAAGTGAACAGAGCGGTGCTGGTCAAGCGTGCCACCACGTCACACGTTGGGACCCGCTACCCAGGAACAGATACAGCACACTGAGTGACTCTGAGGGCTACTCTCACGTCATCCAAAGCTCCTGTGACCTTGCTCTAAAAGAACTGCCTCTAACACCAAGAGGCAATCGAGTAAACCTGAGCTGCAACTGCTCCCCCATCTGACAGAGGTCACTGAACGTGCATCAGGGGTAACGACTTCTGGTCACTACCAACCTGGGACGGGATTCAGCAGTGACCTAGAGGTGAAATGGCTTCGTATTCCATTACCAATCCTCAGACATTGTCTCCTCGAAACATCAAATGTAAAACTCTGTGGTCAAAAATATTTTTGTAAGTCAAAGTTACTTTTTAACCTTTATTTTCTTATATGAAAAATTAATTTTACCACTAGTAGACCTTCGCTGCAGCTTTCTCAATAGCAGTGCCCAGTTTGCAGGGCACTACAACTGAGCAACTTCTAGTGTGCTGCTACTTAACCAGCAAGAGAAATCTCTGCATTCTTGCTAAGTGCAGGCGGAGGATGCTCGGATTCCCATGTGCCTTCTCTACATGTCAGCACATGGAGCGAGGGTGTAGAAATAATGGTCCGTTTCATCTATCAGATTCCAGCACCGCACAAAATATTCCTCCTCCTCTGACTTGGCACTGGCACCCCACCTCTTCCTTCCAAATGAATGCGCAAGTCCCAGTTCAATGGGAAAAAAAAAATAAAATCTAGGTCTTCAGCAAAGCTATTCAATGTCATATGCTGCAAAGCACTGCTCTGTCATCTATACTGTCACTCTAGCCTAGTGCAAAGCTGCTTTCCTTTCTTATAATCAAGCTCTACACAGACCCTTACATTTTTGCAGTTTGGACAAAAAGCTGTCTCATCTTCAAATACAATAGAAACAGATATTCACAGTGCAATCCTTTAAACTGAATAAGTAACCTTTAACCCTGTCCACCCAATAGTGCTGTATCGAGCGCCTGGAGAACATAATTATGGTCCTTCTGCTTCAGAAAGAAATCAGAGTGACTGCCAGCTTACACTTGCTAGCAGATGCTTAAAAGATGTTTCCATGAATTCATCTTAGGCAGGCACAGACTAGGCAAAAAAAAAAATAAATCTCAAAAGCTAGATAGTTTCAGTGGCTACATGGTGCATAGTTTGTTCCATTGTTTGTACTGATAAACACAAGATGAACAGCGTTCCCAGACAGATGCTTTGTTCTTGGAGGGTCGTTCTTTGCTATGTATCTTCTTACATGTGTTAAGCCTTTCAACACGGTCTTCCACCTCTGGAATTGCTTACAAACTACCAACTGGTGGGTACCTTAACGGGTAGCACCAGACTAATACCAAAGCAGTGAATGCTAGAAATCAAAAGCAAGCCTTCCAAAAATAAAGTCCTTTAAATTGCAGCCATTAGAATCTCAGGGCTGTTGCCAAGTGGCTGAAGAGAAGATTGCCAGGTGATGAAACCCACGGAGAATAGAGGACTAAAATCTTTCTAGAGAACATTTATTAATTTTGCTGTTTCTCCTCGAAGTAGGAGTGGGGCACTTCACATATATGCCTGTAAATTTTTAACAAGAGAAGACATTTTTAAGAACATGACCTTTCAGGATAGCCCTTTTCTCCTGGATGTGACTCTAACAGAAGACTTAATGAGTTTATTTGTATTTTAAGCGGAAGCTAAGCCAAACAGTCATCCGTTCTACTTAAGACTTCAGTATTTTCAGAATTTAAAAATAAAAAAGCTGAATGAGCCAACAAAAGCAAGGCAGCACAGCTCTTTTGTGCACAGGTAGGTGTGGGGAACAAATGTTCTTTAGCGGTGAAGTTAAAGCAGAAGACAATTACAACTGATGTTTCTATGCTGTCTTTCAGCCTGGAGGATCCCAAACATCTCAAAGAGAGGAAATACAGACCTCTGCAGCAGCCTCTACCCATTCCTGCACCCAGGAACGTTCTGCAGCCTGAGCAGACAAGGGGAACAGAGACATACCGGTATTACACGGGGAATTTAACCGGGTGGTTGCGCGTTGAACTACTACGGCACATTTCTGCATTCTGTTTAAAGGCTTCCTCCTCTTGTAAGGCTGCATGTCAGCATCCCATTAAGCTCTGATAGCTCTTGTACATGTAGTAAATCACTAGTATTTTATAAATAACTTGTGACAGTTGTTATCAGCACTGTCAGATGATGCTACATAGAAACCACAAAGTCAAGTACAAGCTGGAGCTTCTTTCGGAAGAGTTTCTGTAACCTTGGGTGAACAAGAAGTGCTAAGGAATCCTGAAGCACTGACAAGTCTAGATTTAAATGAATTTCCACCTCAGTGCTAGGGAGCAACTGAGGTACGTCCTGCCCTCCTCTTCCCTACTGTGAATGAAAATCATCCTACAACACAGCTAACTTCACACACCAGAGGCATAAAGAGTAGGTATTGCCATTCCTGATGAGTTCATGTTCTTTAGCTCCTTTTGTCTTTAACTCTGATTCCTCTTACATAGCTGGTGGGGAGAAGACTGCCCTCTTAAGCTTTAAATTTACAATGGGGTGTTGGCTTTTAACACACAGAGGTCCCAATGATTTAGCAGATTATTCAATTGTGCCATCTGAGTAGTAGTAAAGGAGAGATGGCCATAAAATACCTCTCACACAAGTTCTCATTCTGGTGGCTTGTCCAATACATTATTAGAGTCCAAGACACTCCATATCTTCAAGGATTTTTTTTTTTTTCCCTCCCCAAAGGGTCAGTTAAACACAGATCATTTCTTCTAATATTAAATAGCAGCCAAGTTAGCTGCTGTATTTATTCTTACACTTGTCTTGCCAAAAGCTACCTTTGTGCTTCCTCAACATTAAGCATGCTTAACCCCAACTAATGTAGGACTGGTGACTTTCTCTCTTCCTGGGAAGCTTAATTTGTTTCAGTGCAAGGCATCGACGGTGGCTAGCCTTTTTCATTACAGCTGTACATGCCTGTTTTGTCGTGTAATACAGCCTAAGGAGATCAGTGACCAAACTCTCCTGCGTCACACAGACCAACATAAATGGTGGATCAAGCACTTGTAGTTAATAGCAACTCATGATCAAACCAGAGCTCTGGTCTGCCATGAAGAGCCACGGTGCTGGTAGCTGGTACCTACAAAGCAGTTAGTTCTCTTTCAACAAGGCAGTCACCCTCAGTAAGCAGGACTGGCTTGCTGATCAGCAATTGTCTTTCAATGACATCCTGTGGATGCTCCTGGCAGGAGCACTTTGCCATCACGTTCATGGAAAGCCTCTCTCTTCCCCTGGAGCTGTCTCAGGCACGGTACTCAAGCAATGGGAGTCACTAGTGTAACTCTTCACAGAAACAAACATCTTCCTTTCAGTAAAGGTAAGGAAAAGGATGTACTGCAGTAATTTGGATTGATACGGTCCTCTTTTCTTCCCCCTTTCTTTTCCCCTCCTTTCCTACTCTCAAAGCACCTGTTCAAACACAACTGAGTGAAGAATATTCCTTCACAGAGCTGGAGGAGTATCAGCTTGACTCCAGCTTCCTTGATGGTAGAGATAATAGTGTGATACACTCTTTTTCAAGCAGTGATGAAAAGGAGAAGGCTATGACAAATTGAATTATGGTTAGTTTCCTCTTTTTTTATGGCTCAAGGTTGACCTTGGCTTCTAGGAGTCCTTCTGAACTCAGAAGGAAAGAAAAATGGCAAGTTAAGAAACAATAATCTGTTTTGTTCTCATCTATCATGTCACACTTTTATGGTTTAATATTTCAGGATATAGTCAAGCAACTAGATGGTCTTGCACATCTCATCAAGCAGCTAGAAAATACCTTTTCCCAATGATAAGAAATCCTAGCAACTCGTACAGCTGATCAGCAAGCAATCTATTTCATAAGACTAAAAGTAACTTGTGCTAACTGTCAGACCAGAGTAATTTGGAAGGAAACAGGTTGCCCAGAGAAGTGGCTGCAACCTCTCTGGAAGGGTTCAAGGCCAGGTTGGACGGGGCTTTGGGCAACCTGGGCTAGTAGAAGGTGTCCCTGCCCATGGCAGGGGAGTTGATGGTCATTAAGGTCTCTTCCAACCCAAACCATCCCATGACTCTATAAAATCCATGGCTGGAGGAAATTCAATCAGATTTGCTCAGAGATGTGACATGTTAGAAGCAGTCCCCAAGGAAAATGGATTAGTCAATAAAGTAGAAGTTAAATTGTTAAAGATAGGTGATTAATGTAATTTGCCAAACAGCTTTTACCTTCCCACATAGCTGTACGTGTGTGTGCAATACGTGCAGGCAATGTGTATATATATTATGTAATCTATACACACGTTTATATATTTACATAAACATATATATTTGTACTAAATAGTAATATATGAATACAATATCATCTTTACACACACTTCAACCAATACATTCTATTATTCTACAAACATCATGTCTAGGGGACACGGAAAAAAAAGAGTAAATAGACTAACTCATATTGCAGGTGTATTTTTACAGCAAGTAGAACATTCAGTAAAACCCCCTCGAACATACATACCTTAAACTTTAAGACAGGTGGTTTTGATATGGTGGATGCCTTTAACCCATGTAACCTCTCTTCTATCTCTCTCAACCTAGAAAATAGAGATCTTTCTGAGATCCAGTTAAAAATGTAGCCTTAACCTCTCTGATCCAAACAGGCATTCCTGTGGGGTCCAACACAGTTTTGTCCGCTGGGAAGAGAGAGTGATGGCGTCAGTATTTCTCGGATGCAGTCCAACTGATTAAGAATCAAAGTATGTGAAATCCCATTTTCTCTGACCACAGAAGGAATCAATCAAGACAGTTTCCTTTTTCACCACCCCAAGCATTTGCCCACCCTCCTTCCTCAGGAGTAGGTAACGCACCTCTTGTTTCCTTGGTGTTTTTACAGCCAAATCACCTGTTTTGTTTGGTTTTTTTTGTTTTGTTTTGATTTTTTTTTTAAATAAAAAAACCCAACAAAACCACAGGAAACCCCACGCCCCAAGCACTATGAAGTTCTGTATTGTGGTGGAATAGCTGGAGGACAGTATCCCACCCTTTCAACTATCATTAAAAAAGGTTGTTCACCTGTTCTCCTAGGCAGCCTGAATTTATAATAAAAAAGCAGCTACAATATAAAGTACTCATATGGACCAGTGAAACTGTTCCCAATCCCAAGACTAGAACATTACGCCCTCTCTAGACCAGGAAAACACCATCTCTTCAAGTTCCACAAAAGCATTATGTAAACAAATAAGCTAAGCTTAACCTCTAGCATCCTGATTACAAAGAAGCATGTCTAGAGCTGAAACAAAAAAGTTTGTATGCTTTAACGAATGTGATTCAGTCTTAAAAAAGGTGACACGCAAAATTCTTGGGTCTTGTGAACCATTGTCGAAGATTTCCAATACCCAACCTCACATGCTGTATGTTATTCTACAATTTATACATGCTACAACACACTCTACTCAGGCACAAGCACTTCCAGAAATCCACTGTGTGTCTGCCAACCTTACAATACTAGAAATGCAGAAGTTACAGGATGTCAGCAGTGTATTTTCTATCCTTTCAGACTGAATTGCACTAAGATGGCTCACAAAATGGAGAGCCACTCTAACTACAGAGAAGTGCCAGTGTCAAATGATACTTGGATTACTGTGGATGCAACCTGAAGCACCTCAGAGGATGACTAAGGAGCTGGAGCTGTGTGAAAATGGTAATTTTTCCCTGATCATATGCTAGTGATATGCCTCAAGGGTCATCTTACTACTAGACAACTTCATTAGGTTTCTTGTTTCCCTTCTCTCAGAAAGATAACGCTTTATCCAGCCCTGCAGCTGATACAGATGTCCTGTACCAATCCCTAATTACACACATACTGATTTCAAGCACTGCAGGAGATCTCATGCTATATAAATCCTTCCAAAGCACCGCCAATACTAAGGTAGGTTTCAAGAAGGAACCCAAAAATAACTGTGATATGATTTTTTCCTCACTTCCCACTGGAAAGACTGAACCTCAAGATGCTATTACTAGATTCATTAACTATAAGTGTCTCATAGTACCTCAATATCCAGGTTAGGACAGGGAAGTCACCTTAACACTGTGGACACATCGCGATGATGTGCAAGGTCCCCTAACACTGAAAATCCCTACCAGCACTTGCAAGGTGCCGAAACCAAGATCCTGTTTGTCACAGCGGGCAGTGCTGCTTTGCACTCCAAACAGCACCATCATTTCTAGATGGCAGCAAGAAGCAGCTAAATGAGTGATCCAGAGAAAAGCAGCAACCCCATAAGCCCCATCACAGCAATTACATCTTTATCCAGCTGGTGAAGCTCAATTTCCAAGCGAAGCCTAGGATAAAACTTCCCATTTTCCTCTAAAACTGTTGGCATTTCACTGCTCAGGTTCTGCTCAGTATTACAGCTCACTGCCCACCTGCAAGCTACATTGTTGTGCTTCTCCTCAAGTATCTGGAGGACTAATGACCTGACCTTCTTTCTTCCTGGCTATGATCTGCTCCCAGAACATCTGGTCAGGGCGCAGTAGCTAGTTGCCCGTAGGACATGGATTCAGAGCTCCAGCTCCCTGTGCCTGCTCAGTCCTGTGTTTAGCATTTCTCCCTGCCATTCAGCACCAGCAGAAGAACATCAGCCACGGTATGTTCTGGAAACGCTCAAAGGGCGTTATCTAGGGACGTGGCTTTCTCCTTTAATAATCAGAAGTGGATGTGTTACCGTTGTTTAGTTATGTAAAGTTCTTCAAGTAAACGTTGCTCCTCATAGCTCATCCAACGGTCTTCAAGCTCCTCCTCTTCCTTCTGCAGCAACTGTTCGTAAAGCCTGACCGGGTTCCAGCCAGTCATGATGTCGTAGGTGATTACACAGCCCAGTGAGTGGGACACAATTGAGACTTTCCCTCCTTTCTCCTCAAACTCTGGATTCCGGGAGCAGAAGAGTGTGTACAGGCGGTTCAGCTCCTGCTGCAGCCCTTTCACCAGCTGTTTCAAGAGGGTAAGGAAAGAAAGTTTTATATCAACATCTTATTACTCCTGTTCATGCATGTTGATGTACTGCACGGAGCAGCTTCTCAAGCATGCATCTAGGATGAGCACGATGGTCTGCTCACTTAGGCTGGGAAGGTGAGTAAACCCTTATGGTCAGCAGCAACAGCTTGGTTGACTGTCACTGACTCCAGTGGTTCATCTCTCTCCTTCAGACCCAGCAGCAACAGGACACGTGGTACCCCTAGAACTGCTACACGACATAGTCCAAGGCATTAAATTGAAATAAACCCTTAAACAAATGACAGCTGGACTTAAAGTGCTTAACAGCATCCTCTGAGGCATGCAATAGCAATGGTTTTCACTAGCAGTCCGTTAGCACGACAGCAAGTAACACAGCTGTGTTTCCCTTATTGCTTGTTTCTCTACCTCTTCACAGCTCTGAATGTTTCTCCTGTGTCACGAGGTTCAGCTTCTTTTTTAACCTAAGGAGGCTGGAAGCAGCCTGAGCCACACATGATCTGGACTCTACTCACATCTCTGCCACAAGCTTGGCACATAAGCCTAGACAAGTCATACTCTCTCTTCTCCATTTATCAAAGTGAGCAGCAGCAGCAGCATTTCTACCTCATTGAGGGGGACTGCGAAGATAAATCCACTAAAATGGATATGCTCAGATATTACAGTGACAGCCTAAATGGGTTCTGGGAAAATATCCTCAAATTGCTTTTGGATCTTTGTAAAGCATACTTGAACTCATCAAGTCTTTCATTATTCTGCTCGCTGCTTGGCTACGAGGAGATGCAGCTTTCTGCCCTCCTCCCACCATACTGCACCTATTGTAATTTCTTCCAAAGGAATCAGAATGAAATGATGCTGCTGAAGAATACTCAGGCAAAAGGAAGACATGGGAGGAGAAAAAGCACAAATGAGACAGGCAGAGCCAGAATTTGAACATTCGATAGAAATAACGTGAAGAAACCCAGTGTCCTGGTTGGAGGTTTCTAGGAGGGTTTTGGGGGGAAAAGTAGGAATGCAACATGGTTCTCAAACATCACAGGCTAAGCCTACAGTACTACTGCAATAAACATATATTGGTCCTACGTTAACTGAGTCATAAGAGGCTTATCTGCTTCAAATCCTACACTAGGGTACATATCCATAAAATAAGGTTCACAGAAAGTAGAAACGGTGAAAGCCATGAGATTTAGGAACTAAACAATACAAACCCAGCAGCTTTCTTTGTGAACCTCAGCATGGCAACTGAGCAATGCTTCCAGGCTGTGGCACAGAGGAGGACAAACAAGAAATTGCAAATCATTCCCTCGTTAGCAACAGGAAATTAAAGCTATAGAACATGTAATTTGAACATGATTTTTCAAGAGCCTGGATCATTACTGAATATAAATATGAGTGGCACAAGGACTGTCAGTGTTTGGTACACATTTTACTGAGCAAGAATCCACACATCAAACCCTGTGCCTAAAGGGCTGTGAAATGATTAACAAAGCCTTGCAACAGCCTGGAGAAATAAGGAGAAATAATAGTACATTTTCAAGTATTTTTGACTGTGAGGCTGCCTATTCTTGCATTTGGCTCTATCCAGACTTTCGCACATGAACAAAGAGGCAGAGGTTTTAGCAAGAGTTGGAGCTGAAAATAGAAATCAGGACTAGCTTTGGCTGGCTGACATTTTCTCAATTTAAAAAGGTTTTGATTAAAACCCAAAACAAAACAGCAGAGATGAGTTGAAACTGAAGTGTTTTGGGACTCCTGCCAGGAGCTGAGTGAACTGAGGGAATGCTGATACCCAGCAGTTTGCGTGGCTGAGTGCTGTGGTACCCTCCAACAGAGACAGCGTTGCCATCAGGGGCCTCAGCAGGGAGCCTGGGACCCCCAGCCATCCAGCAGACACTCTGGATGGAGTGCTGCCTTCAGATTTCAGAGCTGGCAGTGTAAGACATGCCAAGCAAACCAGTGCTGGACTCATCACAGCTTCCAGCATCCCTGTCAGTACAGCAGGGAGACAAATAATGCCATCTTGTTTTAAAAAAATCCTAAATAAGCTGTATTAATATATCTCAGTGTTCCCAAATATTTTTCTGTGGTGGGAAAAGATGCACAACTCATCATCTGCTTCCATTGGTTTCTTGTTGCATAAAAGCTGTCACTCCCAATGTCCTGCCCAACTTGCTCCACAGCCCTGTACCCTACTTTCCTATGCCCTATTCCTGCACAGCCTATTTCCCTGGAAAAGCAGTTCTCTTCCAGGAAGAATGATATTATGTCAGTCTCCCCCAGAGCCCATAGGCAGAGAGCGGGTAAGTAAGCTTCTGGCATCATGGCATTTCATTACAAAGGTCTTGTTCTCTTGCAATCTGGGGGGCATAAGACAGCATATTCTTGGGAAGTCCTGGTTGGACACCAAGCCCAACCCTGGTTTTAACTGTTCTGCTCCTTAAAAAACATGCTGTTACTGAGAAGTTAGGCAAAACCACGAAGAGCAACTAAGAAACTGCATGGATTTCCCAATAACCATGTATTTGGAAGTTTGCAGACCAGAGTCCAAGCACTTAATTCAACTAAAATCATCTGATCGAGATTGTTTCCAAACTCCAAATCACCAGTTACCTAGCTTAATCGTAGAGTAGAAGGTCTGCTGTTGTAAAGCCTCCAGATTTGCAGGCACTATGAATGGTCTGGTTTGCTGCTATGACAAAAACAGAAGCCCTCCACCTGCAGCAAGTGCTTATGGATGTCTATCTTGCCAACAGTTCTGTATCAGTACTAAGATTAGAAACGGAAACTTTTAGTGTATAGTAAGTAAAAAAAAAAAAAAAAAAAGGAGAAGAAAAAACATACTCACTTTAAGTCCCAGCTAAAAAAATTATTTGGTTAAGCAGTATATGAAGTCAAGATAATATTTAATTCTGATTTGCTTTCTTAGTCTTAAAAGCATACAGTATTCTAACTTGTAAAAGAAAAGCTTGGTTTGAAAAGGGCTTTAGTCCAGCAAGTGTAACATGAAGTGCTTTCAGATCTCTTGTGTAGTTACAGCTTGACAGATATCCCAACACTCCATATAAAAATACCTTCTACAAACACCAATTGTCTTTATATTTGTGAAAAACGGTGACTTTTTTCACTGGAATTAAACATGAAAAATAGAACTCCCTATCAATTTTTCTCTCCTAAACAGCATCATTGTAATTAAAACCAACTTTAAGAGCTGAAGTTTTGTTTTTTTATTAACCAGAGCTTGTCTTTTTCCTGACGCAGAGCTTGCTGACAGCTTCTCCTGCTCTCACAGCACCTACATCCAATGACCTCCTGGGAAAGGGAGCCCTTTCCCTGCTGGTTCCCCTGGTGCTTCTGCCAAGCCTCCCCGTCTGCCGGTCCATGGGATCTATTACGTGCTTAGGAAGCACCTGCTGTTTCTGCCTGAAAACAGGAAAGCAGGAATCATCCAAGAAAATAAAAATTAAAAAAAAAGGTCAACAGTGAAATGCAACATGACCAGACCTTTCTCTCTTTCCATCAACCTTCTTGTCTCCCCTCTCCCAGTTCCCAGCTTATACTGGGGACCAGTGGGACCAAACGTTCACAAAGCACTTTCTCCAGCCCCCCCAGCAGGGCTTTCCCCACAAAAAGACCAGAATTTCCTTGAGTTACTGCCCAACCCCTATTACCATCTCCTACGCCTTCTCCCACAGACTAAACAAGCTTGAATTTCTCACAAAAGAATAAATGTGGCAAGCAGCCGACTGAGTTGATTTTTTTTTTTTTTTTCCTGTGCAGCTGCTCCCACCAACCCTGCTTGCTGCTCTGACTGCTAATCTGCTGGCTGCTCTGCTCCGTTACCCTCAGCTCCTCCAGGAGGACCAGTGAAATGCAGCACGCTTACGTGTCTGTTACTGAACAGATCAAACATCCGTAACAAAGAAAACACTTCCTATTTCTTAAAAAAAAAAAAAAGTAGCCGTATCAAATACCTTCCTCCCAGCTGACCTTTCTACCACAGCATTAGTTCAGCATCAGCCTGAGGACACTTGAGTATCTGAAAGAAAGGTACAGAAAATTTTCCAGTGTTCCTATTCTCTTCCCCAGAAAAGTCCTTTCTCCCTGTTTCTGATTTTTTGGGAAAAATTTCCTAAGCACCTTTTGCAGACCAGTTGTTTCAGTGCAAAAGTTTAGTGCAGGATTAAAATGCTACAAACCTTGTAGATGTACCACTGCAAATACTCACGGATACCCAGAGAAAACGCAATACAAATAAAGCAGGACTTTGCAATGACTTAAGCCTTTAATGCAACCAAATTTCCAAGACTGATTTTATAACAAGTCATAATCAGGGACATGAAGCACCACACAATTTTCAGGCTGGGGAGAAAGCCCTTATATACTGTTAAATTTTCAGACCTTCTCAATACCAGCAGAAGCACAGGCACTCAAGACACAGCCTATGATACAGTTTGACAGAGCAGCGTGCAAGAAATGGATGTGTTTCCTACATATTCTAGTCTGGTCCCAAGGGGCAAGGGAGAGACTTGATTTCCAGCAGTCAAAGATCTCAGCGAAACAAGGTGAATGGAGAAAAAACGCCACCGGAGAACTGAGCAGATGTGCTACACTGCTGTTCCTCTGTGAAGCTCTTCTGGGAACGTGTTTCATTTTTTGCTTCATGAGAAGGAGATGGATTACTAGTCGCCTGAAGCTCTCTCTATCAACTGAAGTTTTGCCAATAAGTCTTCCACGTGGGAAACTCAAGCCCGCAGGATCAAGTTGCTCAGAAGTCATCAGCCTATATTCTGACAAACTGAGGTTAAATGCTCTATGCCCTTCACAAACCAAATTAAAGGCAGACTAAGGAATGGTCTTTCTGCACATTCACAGAGAGTCAGTGTGACAGCTGTGCAATTCGAGGGGAAGCCAAAAACCAGACTGTCGACCAAGGAACGGGTTTCTGGATTTGATCAGGCCAAAAAAATCCTCTCTGC